TGTTTATTTAATTTACATAATTTCTCTGTTAAATATACATATTGCGAACACCAAATATAAACCATCACATTCGGTTTTAAATAAAAAAAGTATCTATGAAGTTTGTGGAGTAGTTTCGATAATAGCTGAGCTACTTGTTATTGAATCGTGTTTAGCTAATAAAATTTGGTGCCAACACTGTTATCTTTTCTTCCACCAACTCTATCACATGCCTGCATAAGCCATGCTTATTTGACTTCACAGCTTCTGCAAAAAAATTAGTTGTTTGTTTAATTATGCACCAAATAAACATTACAAATTAAAAGTAATTGTGTAATGCAAAATTGAAACTGAAAATACAACTTTTCTAAACCACTTACCAATAGCAACATATGCAATCAACATTTTTCCTATTCCGATTTTTTGTCCTCTCCCTGCATAGTTTAATTATACAGCTAGGCTATTTTTAAAAACTATTCTTAGTAACTTACATGTACATTCTCCTTCGTCTTTAGCTCCAATTCATTCCAAGTAATTAACCTCCAAAAATATACAACCTTGCAATAATTAAAGTTACTTTTTGTTAGACTTAAATTAATATAAAATCCTATTTACAAAAAACCTTCAAAGAGTATTTTGCTACAAAAAGGACAAAAGTATACTTAAAGTACAAAAGTATACTTTTAAAAGTACAAAAGTATACTTAAAGTACAAAAATTGTATAAAGATATCATACGAAATGCATAAATGAATCATAAAAAAATATTTACCATTTGCTTAAGTCTTTTAATTTTTCTTCTAGAGTACTTGAATTCACTACTGCTTTTACTGCTTTTACTGCTTTTAGTGGCAATGACACTGTGTCAGGCAAATTATTAATTGGCATATTTTTGTTACTCTTTCTAATTATGCTTAGAATTAAATTTGATGTGTTCTATAGTTCACCAAGTTGCACTTCAATGTTTGCCAATCGTGCCAATAATACCTGCATATCTTTATGGGATACAGTTTTATCTTGAAACAATAAAGTTAACAATATTCTTAAGAAACTATACAACTAATTACATACAACATTTAAAATTTATGAAAGTAAATACAACAATTATTAATAAAGCAAATAAAATTAAAGACAGAGGAGCAAATTTTTAATGATAGAAATAAATACTTGCTAATGAATTCATTATATTTTTATGAATTAAGCAATTTGCTGGTGTGCATTCAATATCTGGTACTGACACAAAACAATTCTTGTTAATGTTTGAGACACAGACTGCACTGTAAAACTAAAAAATTCATATTAAAACAATGTTTCTCCAATTTTTGTAAATAATTTTTTTGCAACTTTTAAAAATAGTATTATCTATTAAAATATTGTATTACCTTAATCTATTAGATAAATCTAAATAAAAGTTTATATAATGAATAATAATGGCAACTGTTCGTCGGCAACTGTTAAGACTTTAAACTCATGAATATTATGTTTTCTTTCTTATAAGTTGATTTCAAATGAATTTCAAAGTTGGTGTAAGCTTTGATATTTTGAATATTGCACAATAAAATGTTCATTAACACTCTGACTTTTTTACTGTAATATATGAAAAAGTCTTTAAAAATTGAAAAAGTTAAAGCTATGAATAAAGATTTCCTATCATCAGACAAAAAGACTTTTGAATTAAAACTTATTTAATTATTTACTTATTTATTTAATAAATTTTGTTCATTCAACTTCTCAGAGCAAACATTAAAACATCTTCAAGGAGTTTTAAGTTTTAACTAAATCCCAAAGTTTATTAATATTTTTTGTTTTTTATGAAATTGAAGATAAATAATCTGAAGAATCATCTACACCAAGAGAATCATCTACTCTAAAATCATCTACAATCATCTACACTAAGATATACGCAATTTTTTGTCTCTTCCATTTTTATTTTGACTGATTATTTTTGCTGTCTTCCTTTTTGTTTTCAGAGCAGAAGTTTAGCCTTCTGCTAAGTTCAGTCTTGCATTGCTATAAAAATCTATAAATCAATTCATTAATAATTAAGTTATAACTAAAGTTAATGTATCAGCTTAAAATTGTTAACTATTGTACGCAAACTAAATGTGAACGATATCGAATTAAATCAATTAAAAACTAATAAAACCATGAAAAATGTCCCTTTGCCTCAGAAAGATGGAATATATACAGGGTTGTTTTGATTTACATTAATTAATTTAAATCAGTTGATTTAAATCGATTTTAAATCATGATTTAAATTCGATGAATAAAAAACATGATTTAAATTCGATGAATAAAAATCATGATTTAAATTTGATAAATAAAAATCATGATTTAATTGAGCTTTTTGATTTTAAATTGTTTTTAATGATTTAATCTCATAATTTAACCAATTATTATAAACTAGTGGTTGGTCTTATATTATAATAAAATGTCTGGCAATATTAGAAAACTCTACATACGTAGAATTTAGATTCTTGTAACATCACTTTTTTAAACTGTATTAATATGTTAGTAGATGGTGTTTCACATTCAAATACAGAAAAAGTCAAATAAAAGAAACATATTTAAAATATAAAACATCAGCTTCTAACAACCACAATGCCACTCTAGTAATTTTATATCTATTGACACCAGTGATGTATAATTTGCAGGTAATACATTTATGAACTTTGCAAAACAGTTTTATTTTAAAACTCATTACTGTATGTTTCAAATGTTTGATTTATTTAATAAAGAAGGCATTTAAAATGTCTTCTTTATTAAATAAATCAAACATTTGAAATGTCAATACAGTAAAATACGGTATTGAAAAAAACAAAAACAATAATGACTGTAAAATCTTACACGAAAATAATTTGATTAATTATAAATGTTAATTAATATTTTTTAAGTTAAAAAAAGTAAAACATTTAACCTTCTAAGAATCTTAGAAGATATATATAGCCTATTTTGTTAATTTTTATAATTTAAAAAAATGAAAAGATAGTATCAAAACTATTCTTTATTTTGTAAAGCAATACCATTTTTTAAAAATTGTATGCAACAATTTTCAAAAATATACCAATAAAATGATCCGTAACTACTTTGACCGATTTGAGCTGATATTGGCCAAATGATGGCCCAACATAGTATGATATTTGTGAAAAACAGATTTCGATAAATGAAATATTACGCTGGCCCAACGGAATAAGCTTGCCAATGTTAAAACTTACATTAGGCCAATGTAAACTTGCTGTCTGGGATATATATATATATATATATATATATATATATATATATATATATATATATATATATATATATATACACTCTTGCTTGTCAAGTCAGTTTTATCTTCTTTTTTTTTTAAATAAATTGTTTTAAAGACCAGAAAAACAACCAAAACCTCAGTCGATGTAGCCACATTTCCTTGTAGCAGCAGGCTATAAGATGGTCTATGTAGCAACACTCCGCAAATGTTATTCAGTAAAAAAATAAAAATTAAACATTCAGAATGTTTTTATTTTTAAAAAGATAAAATAAAAACATTGTAGTATTTTAATTTTTGTTTTATGGTTTTTTAGAAAAACATAATTGGTTTCCTCAATCAAATTAAAATGTTTTGTTGTAATTTAACCTTAATTATGTCAGTTTAAATACCATAGACAATCTAACAGCTGTTTTTTTTTTTAACACAAACAGTATATTTAACGCCTTTACTATTGGTATATATATATAGATATATATATAGATATATGTATATATATCAATTTCTTTTCATTTTACACTGTTTCAACATGTTGAATCATTAAAAAATATTTTTTTTTATTATTTTTATCTCCTGTTTATTAAAGATTTTATCGATATGATTTGTTTTAAAATTTTTAGTTGAAACATTTTTTAAATTGATATACACATTTAACTAAAAATGCTTTAAGAAGAGTTTTTGAGTTAATCTAGATTTTACAATACTGTAAAATATTTAAATATTTTTTTTAATTACAGTATTTTTTTCTCAAGAAATTTTTCTCAAGAAAATATTACATCAATGGTCTTAAGATGCCAATTAAAACATATTATTAAACTGAAGTTGTTAATTCAACCATTTAGTTTTTTCTACCTAAAAATCTTATAATTTTTTGAATGATTTTTTTCTACAATTATCATAATTAAAGTTTTTCTAATTTTGAAAAAATATTTTGGCTTTTAAATTCATTTTTTATAACAACTTTAATTGTTGTAATACTGGCAGAAACCAATACTTTTTATTACACAAATAATAACAGCAAACAATTTCATTGTCTTTGAAGATAAAATAAAATCACTATCACAATCAATTATTTTTTCAATAGTCATTTTACTCCTGTTATATTTATAAGATCTTTCTACTGCAAAACATCAATCCCAATTATTTTTAATAACTCTAATTTTAATATCCATTAATAGTCTCTATTTTTTTTTCTGTTCCGTTTCTAAAGGTTGACAGTATCTAATTCAACTAAGTCATAAAAGTCACTTTGTTATTTTCTTCATTTTTTAACAAAAAAGACAATACTGATAATGAATCTGTGTGAGGAATAGTGTCTCCTTTTTTTAGCTGATATCATGATTGATCATTAGCCATCATTAAAAAGCTCACTTGAAATTCTAGCAATTTCACTATTAGTATCAACTAAAACTCCAAATTTAACTGCGAGTGTGGGTAAAAGGAGCTCTTAATTGGATAATAATTTTACAAAAATAATATCACAAAAATACTCAGTCCTAATCTACAAAATAGGTTAAGGGCAAAAAGGGCATCTGTTAATGTAATTGTAATATATGCTATAATAATATTAAATATTTGTAAATGTTATTATAAAATAATATATTTTGACTAAATTAACATGTTTATGATTACCAACTTGATTGGTATTTTTTTTTAATATTTTTATATTAAATAAATATAAATTAAAAGTTTATTTTTACACTATATAAGTATAAATTAATAGTATATTTTAAATTGAAATTTTCAAAATTTACAAAATTTTTCATCATTTAGAGACCATATAAATGCACTATTAATGGTTGTGATAAAGCTTTTCGTACTAATTGTCACTTGAAACGACATATTGAAACACATAGTACTGCTAAAACCTATAGGTGAGTTTTTAAAAAATATTGATAATATTTTTCTAGGTTTTTGAAATAACCAGTAATTAAAAATAATACTTGATAGATGTGATTATGATGGCTGCACAGTTGCCTGTATGACTCAATGGAATTTGAAAAGACATGTCAAAAGAACTCATTTAGATAGTTTCAAGGTATGATGTTTATAAAAAGTCAAACTAATGTACTTATGTATACCAATGTTTCACATTAAATGTGTTTAGGTTTTTTTCACATTAGTTGTGTTATATTATTTTTTTGTTTTCAAAACTTGTCCACAACTCTTTGCATGTTTTTGACAAATAAGGAGATTTAAAAATATGATGCTCAAACCAAAATGGTAAAAACAATCCATAACCTAATTAAAAAAAACAAATATTAACAATAAAAAAAATAAAAAAAAGTTAAACTTGAAAAAAAATAAAACATAATACATAAACATAAAAAAATAAAACATAATAAAAAAATAATATAAATATGTCTTTTTTTTAATTAAAAATATTTAACTTAATAGACATTATAAAGATCAAAGTTTTTAATCTGAACCTTATTACTTTGAAACTTCTATATTTAAAAACTTTAAAACTTAGATGTTTAAAACATAAAAAAAAGATCAGTTAAAAGAATATGAAATTATTATGTTTAAACCTTTTCTAGCACATATATTTCTACAATGGGTTTATTGTTTGTATACTCATAAAAAGAATGGCTGAGTTAAGAAGAATGCTTTTGAATTAAAACTATATTTTTATGGTTTTATATCTTCAGGTTTTTAGTTTTACACTTCTTCGTTTTTGGTAAGATTTTGCATCTTGTTGAAGTTTATGTTGTTGTTTTTTAATTTTCTCTTCAGTTTGGCTTTTTCAGCCCATTTCTAAAATATATAGTTTATCAAACATGCAAAGAGACATGGCTATGTTGTCAAAGCAAAACATATGCATAGTCAGGCAATGCATGCGACAACACCCATCTCTTGTGAAAATAGTTGTTTAGTTTGTAAAAAAAGTTAATTTTTTTTTTTCAGTGTAAAATTTGTGATAAAGAATTTAAGAAAAATAAACTCTACAAAGAGCACATGCTATTAGAACACGAAGCAAAACGCTTTTGGTTTGTTGAACTTTTGAATTTTTTTATTATTACCAAATTATTTTTATATTTTATGATTTATTTTATAAATTATTAAATCATTTTTAATTCAAATTTTATATTTAAATTTTAGTAGGGTTAGTTAAGATTACAGTTAAATTTATTTTGGTAGCTATAATGCACTGCTTTTTTAGATGCTTTCATTAAAACTTATTTTTACTTTTCCAGTAGGTTGAGATGAGATAATAACTGCTAAAAGATAAATGAAAATTTTTTAAAGTTTTTGAATTTTATTTCAAGCTATCAAAAATTAAGCATATTTAATTAAAATATATTTTTTGAGCAGCAAAATATATTTTAATGAAATATAAAATTTGATAAGTTAAGATCTAATATGAAATAATGATAACATAATTTAAATTGTTTATTTTTTTAAAAATAATTTCAAGGCATAAATATATCATTGGATATATTCTATCTTATAAATGGTTGTATTCAACAACCATAGCTCCTAATTTTTTACCATGGTGGAAGTTTTTCTTGGACACAAAAAAACCTTTACAATGTCTTGTTTAAGTTTAAGCTTAATATAGATTGAATATATCTATATATGAGTAGAAAACCTATGTACAAGTAAAACATGGACTGGGTATTTAGATGATACATAAGTTTTATCAAGGAACAGCGTTTCACAAATGAATCTAACAAAGACAAAGCTAATATTAGCTTACTAAAAATAATAGTACTAACATATTTATAAACGAACTAAAGATCTGGTCAATTGTATTCTACCAGTACTAATTGACTTTTAAAACCATCTTTCGAAAATTGTTAACACTAATTTATAATTAGTGTTAACACTTAAACTATTATAATAGCTAATAAATAAATTATAAAACTATTTTTAAAAAATATAAGCTAATACATAGTTATTATTAAATAATTAAATAGTTATCCATAGATCTTTCCAAAATGATTTTTGCAAGATTGTTTTTGAACCCTTTTTATTAGTTTGTATATATGTATTAGTATGATGGACAGAAGTAATAACAGACCTTTTTAAACAGGTTAAAAGAAAAAATTGTTAGTATAGTCAGGGATTTTCTTTTCCAGATATTCTCAAAATTTTGGATATGTCTTCAAAAAAAATTTCTTTGGATATCCAAATAATTTTTTGCAAATACAAGTTAAAAATATAATTTTTATCATCAAATAATTAAAACAGTAAAGGTATCATTAATCAATTGCTATATTTATATACTCAAGGCTATATTTAGTTAGGTTAGGTATTATTTGTACATGTGTACAACTAATTTTTTCTTATTTCAATGCTTAAATTGATAATTAATTATTTATACTATTTCACCTAAAAATCTAGTTAATTTATTTTAATAACTTTTTTATATAAATTTAATTTATAAATTCTATTTAAATAAGTATTGAATTTTTTTTTTTATATAAAAGAATAAAAACCTAAACCTAAACCCTCAGTCCATGTATGTACACTCCACTGTGCCTATCCCTAATCAGTCGATGCATGTGCACTCCACTTTGACTATAACAGTCGATTTATACACATTTTCTATGAAGTCTTAAAAAAAAAAAAGAAAAACAACAATAGTTATAAAACATAAATCTACTTCGATAAAAAACTTAAAAGCATAAATCTACTTTAAAAAAAAATCAAATTAAAAAAATTAAATAATATAACAATTAGTATGTACAAATAATGTATTTCTTTTCAAACACATGAGATATTCTTAGTTACACAAAATGCATTTTTATTTCCAGATTTTTCTGGATGTTTCTTAAAAATATTTTCTAGATATTTTGAGGAAAAAATTTTCCAGATTTTTAATATATAACTGGGATAATCCCTGTATAGTGTTTGAACTGAATTTTTACAAAGAAAGGTTTTATAAGAAAATAAAATGACATTTTAAAGACCTTTTTAAGAAGCACCATCTAATCATCCTCATTATACTATAAATAAATTGCTTATAATTTTAACATATGCTACTATATTAAACTATATATATTTATACTGTATCTAGGATTCAGAACATGTTAGTACATAAATACATACATACATACATACATACACACACACACACACATACATACATACATACATACATACATACATACATACATACATACATACATACATACATACATACATACATACGTACATACATACATACATACATACATGTATGTATGTATGTATGTTATGCCATATACATACATGTATGTATGTATGTATGTTATGCCATATACATACATGTATGTATGTATGTTATGCCATATACATACATGTATGTATGTATGTTATGCCATATAAGTTCAAATTAAAAAAGGTTGTTTTTTTTAATTTTAAAGCTAAATCCAGTGTGTTATTTTGTATTTATTATTTTTTGCTTTAAAATAAAATAGTTTGTTACTTTTAAACAACATAGTTAGCATAAATGCGTTTAAAAGTAATTTAAAAAACAAGGTTAATAAAAAAAATGAAGAAGCAAGAATCATTATATTAATATATTTTTTAAAAAAGCAACAAAATTTAATGATTCTATAATTATATTCATCTTTCCATTCGTTTTTAAAAAATGATGATGTTTTACGTTTTATTATTTTTCTAGCAGTCATTAAATTTAATTCATTTTAACAATGTCATCGCATATACAAAAAAGAAAAGAAAAGTTGTCTGTAAAAAATAATTTGACTGAGTCAATAAAAAAAGCTAATGTTCCTTGCAAGCAGGAAAATTATATTGTTGAAAGTATTATTAAGTTACATGATAAATAGAGAAGTCTTGCAAAGTCTAAAGGTAAATATTTTTCAAAAAACTTATTCAAGGCTTCAAAAAAATAATGGATAATATTCTCGATATTAGTTCTGCTAATTGGAAAGAATATGTTAAAAAAACCAGATCAAATTTAAATGCAGAATAAGATTTTTTCTGGTTTTCAGCACTCAAAAGTAAAGTAAAAACCGGAGGACTAGGTGGAAAAGATAATTTGTTAAAATTGAGAGAAAAATAGAGAAAGAGGAAAAATAAATTAAGAATCGATAAAGAAACGAAAAAAAAATTAAATGATAAAGAAATTGATTTCAGCGTTTATAAAAGTGATGGTGACTCAACTGAAGAATCATTTTTTGCTGAATCATATGCAGGTGTAATGGAAAATGTTGTATTAGATAATATCAATTTAATTTTGCCAAGAAACTTTGTCATCCAATGATAACAGCAACAGCTGATAGATCTAAACTATCTAACGCGCAGCTTTTGATGAATGTTTCAGCAATCCTGGTTCTAGGTTATATTTTGATTGTTATTTCAATCACTAATCAGTTTCATGAGTTTTTGATAAGTGTGATGAGTTAATAAGAAAAATTATATTCTGTATTTTTTAGGTGGTGTTAAAGCTAATGATGTAGATATTTCACTAAACACAATTAGCACGTAAGCAAAATAGACAAATTATGGTAAGAAATATAATTGCAGAATTAAAAAAAAATTTAAATTAGATTATTTAACTCTTCACTGAGATGGGAAACATTCTTATGAAGCAAATATCTATAGAATCTGATTTAAAAAACAATGGAGTCTTTTTGACTATTAGCTCAGCCATTTACATTAAAGCTTGATTAGAAGCGTCAAAGTCTTGCGATGTACCAATTAATGATATAAAATTATTTAATGATCTAGAAGCACTGAAAGATATACCAAACTTCCGTGTACCTGCTGAAAAAGCCCAACATGTTTTAAGCAGACACTCTTGGTATCTAACTGAGTAGGTGTCTGTATTAAGTTTATTTTCAAGTAAACTTTCTCTATATGATAAAGATAAAATTGCAAAAAAAATGCTAGAATACGGAAAACCACTTGGTATCAATTGCGGTAAACCAACTCTTCCACTGATTAGAAAAAATTCCGATCTTTTTTTTTATATTGGGAAAAAGTCTTGGTTAATTTTTCATAATTTAAAAGTCAACTTCAAAATGGGACAACAATACTTATTATTTGAAAATTAAGCTGTTTATCAAAACTCTAAAAGTGACTAATGACGCGGCTGAGAGAAGAATTAAGTTGTGTTCCGATTATTTCCAAATACTTACAAAGGTAAACCATAAAATTAGTTAAGAAGGCACTTAAGAAATCTACATAATCATAAAAATTTACTTTTAGAACAGATTAAAATAATATTTTTTAAATTTTTAGCAAAAAATTACTTGGTATATAAGATGTAAGATATATCTTTTTTTACAATAATAGCACTGCACATAAAAGAGGGGGCAGGGTAGGAGTTTATAAACAAGTAATACAAAATAATACATGGGGGTACAAGTCCAAAAAGGGTTAAAAACGTGTTGCCTATTAAATAAACAGCCTCAAATAACAAATATTTCCTATAGATATAAAAATTCAAATCTTTTTTCATTTTCCAACAAAATCCTAATTTTGACATATTTTGGACTAAAAATGATAATAATCAAATCAAATTTGGCAGCACTCAATGATGTTTTTTTCCAAATTTTTTTTTTATAGTTTATAGTCATATGTAAATAGGATCACGTTTTTTTTTGCAGACGTTAACTTTTCGAAAAATTTTGTTATATATATATATATATATATATATATATATATATATATATATATATAACAAAATTTTTCGAAAAGTTAACGTCTGCAAAAAAAATACATACATACATAAATATATATATATATATACATATATAAATATATATACATACATGCATACATACATACATACATACATACATACATACATACATACATACATACATACATACATACATACGTACATACATACATACATGCATGCATGCATGCATGCATGCATGCATGCATGCATACATGCATACATACATACATACATATATATATATATATATATATATATATATATATATATATATATATATATATATATATATATATATATATATATATATATATATATATATATATATATATATATATATATATATATGTATGTATGTATATATATATTTGTGTAAATAATATAAAGCAAAAAAACAAAAAGAGAAAAACAAAGAAGTTTAAAATAGCAATTTCTACATTTGTTGATATAAATACTTATTTCATACTTTTTATTTTTAGCTGTCAGTTTCCAGGTTGTGGTCAAGTATTTACTGAAGGCGTTAAATTAAAACATCATACAAAAATGCATGCAAATAAAGGTAAAATTATCGGCAATATATAACTACTATTTCTCGTATAGGTCAGATATTAAAAATAGGTTGTCCTTTTAGTCAAAAGCTTTAGGGTTAAGCAGAAAATTTATGCTGACCGGCCTTGTTTTTTATCCAATAGGATGGTGTAAACCTGTGTTACATTTTTTCATACCTGAATGATGAATGGTGTATTTTCTTGACTCTGCTTATGAGTTTTTCCTTTTACTTTCTTGGTAGTGGCTATGTAAGTTTTTCAGTTATCTCCTTATAATGGTACAACTTTAAAACCCAGTTTAATGGTTCTGAGGCTGTTTGACAGTAAGATTTTCCAAACTCTTTTTTAGTCAAGGTCCAAAAAAGAAAAGGCCTAGTTTAAAAAATTAAAAAAAAGAAAAAATAAGATAATATAGTATACTGTTATGGATTGCAATATTATTTATTTTAATAAAAATATAATGGTTGATTGTTATACATATAGAATGACTTTGTTATAATAAAGTATAATTGTTGTTGTTCATACAGAATATTTGTTATGATAAAATATAGATTGTAACAGTATGCAATAAATAATCCTACACTTAAAAAAATCTCATAATTTTAAAAATTGTATCAAAAAACTTACGCAAAATATTTGAAATTTTTTTCCAGATATTTAATCAAGTATTGTTTTAAAAATCTATTTGTGTATTGTTGAATAAATAAGTTTTCAAACCTATTGAATTTTAGAGAATTGATCTGATGATGCATAAAATTGAATGCATAAAAATAATCAGATGTTAACAAAATATGTCTATACTTAAATACTTAATATGTCTATACTTAAATACTCTATGTAAATACTTTTGTGTACAACGAGTAAATTAAATATAGTTAAAGTGATAAAATTCAAAAGTAGCTAATAAAAAATAATTTTTTAATAAATACATTTTTAAGAATAGCTAATATAAACATTTTTAAAGATTATAATCAAAATAGTATCAAGTAAGAATTATTTGTCTTTTTATCAATAAGGCCTTGTAATGGTTTGAAAAATTAGATTTAAAAAAAATTGATTTAAAAAAAATTTAAAAAAAAGTTTCTTTTACCATCATGTTTTTAATCGTTAAGAAATATGACCTGATTGGAACCATTGCTAGTAAAGATAGGAGAAGATAAAAATGCAAGATTACCAGTGTAATTGGTTCTAATATAATCATTAATGAGAAAAAAATAGATCTATTTTGACAGCTAAACAAGCTTTAAAAACAAGGTTTTAGATGTAAAGAAGTTTGAAAAAAACCTATTTTTACTGCAAAATAAAAATAACATTGATTGGAGTTTGTAAAGAAGTATGAAAAAATACTGATATTGTATTTGAAAAAAATTTTGTGTTCAGATGAGTCAATATACAACCTCAGGTTGATGGAGTCCTGGAAAATGAGTCGGAAAGGAGTGGAAAAGTTTGTGTTAGTTGATGACTAAATGGATGTTCAGATGTATTGTGAAATTCTCAAAGAGGTCAGATGAGTCAATATACAACCTCAGGTTGATGGAGTCCTCGAATTGTGGCAAATGAGTCGGAAAGCAGTGGAGAAGTTTGTGTTAGTTGATGACAAAATGGATGTTCAGATGTATTGTGAAATTCTCAACATAAGACCATCTACTAAAAAATTGAGAATGGAAAGCAATTTTATATTCCTAAGAAAACAATGCTATACTTTGATACAAATAGCTTTAATGTTTTGGAATGACCATTTTAAAATCCCGACATAAATTTTATAAAATATTTGTAGTATATTTTAAGCAGAAAAATTTGTGACCAAGCATTTAGATGAAAAAAGTTACAATGAATGCTTGGGATACTATAGCAACAAAAGATAGTCAGAATTTGATAAACTCAATGCTAAATCTTCTAGCTGAGACCATCAAGGCAAAAAGAGGCCCCTAATCAAACTAATTTTTTTTCCAATTTTATCTATTTGACATTATTTTTGAACTGTACGATTTTTGGCTGTAGTTTTTTTGTATTAAGTTAGTAATTTTCAATTTTACACTTAAAAACCTTTTTTTTTTAAATTGTACACTTATAACCTTTTTAAAAATTGTACACATAAAAACCTTTTTTAAAGAAATTTTGATGATATTTTGTATATTCTAGATTTTTGTTAAAGTTTTTTTTAAATTTTTGTATTAAAAAATACAAAAATTTTGGTCATAAAAATGAAAAATGTGATTTTTTTTTTTTAAGTGAATAATTTTTTTTTTCTTTTTTGTTTTTAATATTTTATATAGTATATGATATAATAAAGTACTTTTTGAAATTATTTTTAGAAACTATTTATATTTCAATATATATATATATATATATATATATATATATATATATATATATATATATATATATATATATATATATATATATATATATATATTTCAATGTCTTTTAATGATAATATAAATACCATATGCTTGTACCTGATAATATTACATTAAGCTTGTTACCTGATATTATACATTAAGCTTGTTTTTTTTTTTAAGAGACTATGTTTTTTATTTATTTGATTATTGAAGTTATTTATTTGATTGTTATTGGTTGAAGAATTAATTAAAATTTTTAATTTGTATATAGGAGTATTGTGGAATATATATTGTTGTCTAATGTTCATATTTTGACAGACTAATAGATAAACTTGTAGTGAAACAAGCATAATTTCTCTGACAAGCCCAGCTTGTTTTTCATACAGCATTGTTGTTTGCCATGGTTTGTGCATCATTGTTTCTCATAGATTGTGTATTAGAGTTATTGGATTTTAGATATAATATCACTCTGCATTAATTTTTAGAATATTCATGTGTTGTAAAAGATTGCTCAATGAAGTTCAATTTATGGTCTGAATGCAGGCAACATATGGCAGTATGCAAAAATAATGGTATGTAGAAAGAAAAAAATTATTTTTTGTCTTATAAAAATGTAATTTTTTTTTATTTTCAAATACAATATATTTATTTAAATGTAATAAAAAAATATACAATTAAGTCTGGAAATTTATTTTTTTAATAAAATAAAGAAAGTCTGCTCTCACCTGTGAAATTTATATTTGCAGTAAAGTGATACTAGGCAGAGTTGTTAGTCCGTGGTCTTGGTCTTGGACTTGGCCTTGTCTTAAGGCCAAAAACTAAGGCCTTGGTCTTAGTCGTGAAACTGTTGACCTTGTTCTTAACCTTGAACATTTTGTCCTTGGCTTTGAACGTTTTGGCCTTGGCCTTCCACCTTTTCTTAATAATTACAAAACTTTTGTGTCACTTTAAAAATTATATTACAGTTGATTTTGTTTACAATAGTTATTTTTGTTTACTTAAAAGCATTAGAACTTAATTTTGTGTTTTATGTCATGGTTTAAATTGCGATTTTTGACTAGACATTTTAAAACAACAATCAATGACATGATTGGTTTATGGGAATTTAATACATCCATTTAGTAAGCCACATGATTTGTTTTAACGTTTTTTATTAGTTAAAACATTTTATAATTTAAAAAAGATTTAAACATAACCTTGGTATAATTTCACAACATGTGGTTTTATAATCACAGTACTTGCTACCTGCAGTTTTGTTAACAAATAAAGATGCTTTGCAAAAAATTGTGATGATTGGAGTCTAGGAACAAAAAAAGCTCTAAAATTTTAGCAACACCTGCCAAAAAGTGTGAGCAACAAAGCCTGCCCAAAAGTGTGAGCAACAAATTGATAAAATATTTTTTTTACTATTCTCAACCAAGTTTATATTCATCGATAAATTTTAAAACTCACACGATAGTTCAACAATTATGACCTTATGAAATTTCCAACCCCTTTAAATTGAGGGGGGTTCAAACTTTTAATGGACATTTTGAACCCTTAAAGGTTTTTGTGTAATTTTTTAAAATTTAATGATGAATATAGATCGCAATTTTTTGCAAAGCGTCTTTTTGATATATGTATAAACATAAAAAATTTTTGGAGTTTGCTCCATGTCTGGAAGTTATGTATCTCAAACATCAAAAAATGCTGCATCCCCACCTGAAAAGCATATATATTTTATTCTTTTTAAGGTGGTTTTAAAAGCAATATTTCAAATGTAAGTCTGCTCCTTGCAAATTCCATTGTTTTGGATTTTTCATATTGCCATATATAAGTAAGAAAATGGCATTGTGGGAACAACACAATTATAACAGAACAACACCATTAAGAACCATAGATGTTAAACTTGAACAATATATTGTTGGTTATAAATAGAATACACTATCTTTATTTTTTCTTTTAATAGTAAAACTTGTAACAATTTTCCAATATTATAACAGTTGTTGCTTTATAAGCAAGAGAGATTGATCAAACTTATAGTTCCAATTTAGGATTATTGAAAGGGTTTTGTTATATTACTACTGTGCTTACAGCAACTTATAACTTAAGTTTCTAATAAATAAAATACATATAAACTATTATTTCATTAACCATTAGCAAACCGTTTAATTAAAATTTTATTTTTTACCCTTTGGACCTGTGGAGTGGATCAAATGTCAAAAAGAAATTAGTTTGCAAAAAAATGTAAAAGCAGAATTAAATCAATAGTTTATTGTTGTCCTTTTAAAAAATATACCTGCTCATTTTATAGAGCTGTTCCAAACAAAACCTGTTTAGCTATAAGTACTTCACCTTAATAAGGTGAATATGTAAAATCTTAAATATTTGTAATTCAAAATCTTTATCATTTTTATACCATTTTAATATTTTTTACAGAGAAGCAATGTGATATATGCGGAAAAATACTTTCTAAAAGTTCAAATGTAAGTTTTATGTTTCAGTATTTTTTTAGAAAATATTTTTTAAAGGCAAGGGAAAAGAAGCTTTCGTTTATAATTATATAAGTTGTCAAACATTCATATAGTTTAATAAATACATGAACCATTTTCCTCATAATAAAAGTCTCTTATACAGTTTTTTCTAAAAAAATACTAATTGTTAAATTTTGTTTTTAAATTTATTTAGCTGTTTATTTTAGCTGCTAGCCATGAAACTATTTGCACCAGAGAATTTAAATTTTATATTTTATTTATTTAGTTAAAAGCTCATAAAAAAATTCATTCAGAAAGTAGAGAAGTATTTCAGTGCACATATACAGGTTGTGGTAGATTTTATACTAAGGTAAATTTATTATCTCATGCAATATGAAAATCTTCAAAATTACTAAGTATTAGAGAGAAACATTCATACAATTTTAAGAGCATTTTTTTAAAGTATTTTTTTTTTTTTTTTTTTTAATCTTACTGTAATAAAAGTGTTCATACTTTGTTAAGTATACTTACTTACAACAGAAGTCACCAAAATAAATATGTGATGCCATTTTGACTTTCTCTTTAGTCAAAACGGCATAATAAAACTGAAAAACTTAATAAAACAGAAAAACTTAATTATTAGTAATTAATTTAAGTCACAACTACTTTACAATGTTAACAATGTTACAATGTTAATGTTTGTACCGCTTTCAATTTTAAATATGATATTTCCTTAATGTTTTAAATAAAATTGTGTGTTTATTAAGTAAAATTTTTATTAATTTAACAATAAAGTAATGCGGTAGTGGTGTAGTGGAAGAGCGCTCGCCTCACCACATCCTTGGTTTTACTGCACTTAATTTGTTTCTATGTGCAGAGACCTTGTTCTTCAAAGTTCGTGTTTTGGTCTATTCAACCTTAACAGTTTAAACTGAAAAATTCAAACAAAAAAAATGATATCAACGTTAATTAGAAAAATTACTGTTTAAACGAAAAAATTGAATGAAAACATTGACTTAATCATTTGAATGAAAAAATTATTTATATTTAATTTTGTAATACTATGTTTATTATATTTTAAGTTTTAATAGTAATAGCAATATATTATAAAAAACGTGGTATTTAATGTTTTTTGCTCTGACCTTTCTCCTTAAGTCTACAGATATGCTTGCTTATGCATTTTTTTTTTAATTAAATGTTTCTATTTATTTAATTCGTTTTAATGTAAACGCATTTTATGTTCTTAATGTTGTAATAAAAACTTAAATTTATAAAACAGCTACACAAACAGCATTACAAAGTTGTTTTATATTAACACAAACTCTAAACTTTGCAGTTTGTTTTATTGTTTTTTTACAGCTTTTTACAATAACAGTTCAATACTCTTTAAAAATAACTTGTGTTTTATCGTCAGCATGAACATATTAAATAGTTTTCTACAACTATTTAAAGTGGTTTTAATATTGTAATATTTGCATTTTTACTTTTACTTTTTTATAAAATAGTACCTAAAATTTTTAGTATCATGTTAATTACTAAAAGTAATGTGGTGATAGTATTAAATACTTTACTTGCTCATTACAGCATAACTTGCTCATTGCACTATAACTGCAACTTAAGCTTTAAACTATAACTTAGGCTGTAAATTATAACAGTAAACTACACTATTTTAAACTCAACCAATAAACTCCACCAAATGAGAAAATTAAAAGATAATCTTTGAATATGAGAGATATTATGTTTAAAAAATAAAAATTATGAACTAATGTTGAAAAAATACAATTTTATACTATGCAAGAGATGGGGGGGTTTCTTTTTTGCGATAAGATTTTTTGCGTTAATTCAAGCCCTTTAATGTTTCTTCTCTCTAGACTGATATATGTGCCTCCTACCTAACATACCTATTATAGTCTTGCAGAAATGTTCTTTGGAGTTGTCTTCGAGTTGTCTATACTTTTAAAATTATTTAATAAGTGCTTATCAGAGTCTTGTTTTCCAGCCAACTAGAGAGCGGCATCTGTTATTCCTATTTTTAAAAATTCTAGAGAACAACATGACTCATCTATCTACCATCCCATTAGTCTTCTTCCAATCATAAACAAGGTTTTTGAGTCTTTAACAAATACTTCATTTCTCATCTTGAATTTAAGAACTTACTTTCTGATTGTCAATACGGTTTTCAATCTTTTGGTTCTACTGCTGGTTTATTAACGGTAATAACTGATAGGTTTTATTTTGCATTAGATATATGTGGAGAGGTTAAGGCTTTTGCTCTCAACATTTCTAAAACCTTTGATAAAGTTTGGTGCGCTGGTCTTCTTCATAAGCTCTTTTCTTATGGTGTATCAGGTAACATCTTTAAGATTATTGAATCCTTTCTTATCAATCTTATTATTAAAGTTGTTCTTAATAGACAGCAGTCTTCTGAGATTTTTGAGGTTCCTTTCTTTTCTATTTTTGACCCTATACTTTTTTCAATTTACTTTACTGATCTCCCAAAAATTCTCACATCTTAGGTGGCATTGTTTTCATCCTGACTTTGTCTTTTAGGCTGTTAAGTATCCTACAAAATTTATGATTTGGTCAATCATAAACAGCAGTAAGACCACTGGGTATCTGTACAGGATGATAAGTAAAATGAAAAAAGATCATTACAAGAGTCTTATGAATCGATGAATACTGCAGCTTAGAGAATGTTATCGAAATAGAAACCATTTTCAAGAGTTAATGAATTCATATTTTTTTTATAACTAAAATGGTTTAATTGTGTTCAAAAAACAGGTAATAAGGTGGATAATATATAAAGTATATACATTGTATCTAGTAAAAACAATAAAGCTATATATAAAACAAAATAGTTTCATTTGATAATTAAGAGAATTACATAAAATGTGTCTAATAATTTGGCCAAGGAATGATTTATAATTGCTTGTTATTTGAATTTTCTTATTTGCATTTATATGTATATATAAAAATCTTATAAAATAAAAAAATATGTATATATTACAACAGTATATATACATATCTGCTGTATGCATACATACATACATACATACATACATACATACATACATACATACATACATACATACATACATACATACATACATACATTCATTTAATCATCTATAAACAAAAGATTTAGTGAAATTTGTTGCTCATAAGTTTAAAAACTTTTTTTAAAATTTATATTTAAACATTTTTTTAGCAGTACAATTTAAAAGTTCATTACCAAAGTTTCCATCAAAATATCAGACCATTTGTATGCCCAAAAGATAAATGCAAAAAATCTTTTCATTTTCAGGTTGTATTTATTTATATTGTTATTTTCATTTGCAAGTATGTTTAACTTTAGTATGTTTAAAAATTTGTTACATTGCACAATTCTTTTTGAGACCTTTAAATTCTTGTTATTTAACAAAAATATTGAGAGTAAGTCCACATAAATTCTAAAGAAAAGAAATTTAACATAAATTTTTTTTAAGTATTTAAAAAAAATTTTTTTTTTTACTTGAAACAAATGGCTTTTTGCCAAAAACAATGTTACAGAAACCATATAGTGCATTGGTTTGTTTTTTATGTTAAATTTCTTCTTTTTTTTCTTTTTTTTTTGTTATATTGTTTTTTTACATTGTTATTTTTTTAATATTAAACTATTTTTTTTTTCATGATCTTTTAATTAATATTTAGAAAGTATTATTTTTTTAAATAATACCTGAATCCTCAAAGTATAAAAACCAAAAAAACAGTTTAAAATAATACAACAATTTTTTTTTATTTACACACAACTTTTTGAAGGTAAAATTATTATTTATGGTATTATCTTTCAAATTTTTTTTTCAAACTATGATTTTTTATTTTTAACATTTTGTGTTAAATCGCGCACACATCACACAACACACAACTTTTTAAAGGTAAAATTATTTATGGTATTATCTTTCAATTTTTTTTTTTTAAACTATGATTTTTTATTTTTAACATTTTGTGTTAAATCGCGCACACATCACACAACACACAACTTTTTAAAGGTAAAATTATTTATGGTATTATCTTTCAATTTTTTTTTTTTAAACTATGATTTTTTATTTTTAACATTTTGTGTTAAATCGCACACACATCAAAAAAAAAGAGATTTCAGGTTTACATTATCCTACTCTATATATTATTATACTCTATATACACTATATATTATTATACTCACTTGATTTACTATTCAAGTTATAAAATGCAACTGTTAAAAAAAAACAAGTAATTGTTTATACTGTTAGCTAACAATTTTAAAATATATTTGCAATTATCCAGTTTTAAATTTATAAATATAAATATACAATATCTCATTTTTTCAATCTATAAATTAGTACTGTTAAACGATTTGGCAATTCTTTTGCTTATTTTTGAATGAGTTGATTCAGACGTCTGTTCATCGTATCGTCCAAGAAAATGGCCAGTAAGTTCAATAACTGTTGCAAGTGAGCTGAGATTAAATTAATGTTTCTTTCCTAGGAACTATATGATGTATGATTTACAAATCCCATTAGCATATGAAGCTCTGGCAAAGGAATGACAAGAACTACTTTGGACTTGTTTTCCTCCTTTGTTAGGCATGCATTCACAACATTTTGTTAAAATATGTTAATTTGGTTTCCAACTTTAAAAATATGCTTGGTTATTATTGAAAAGATATTTTTTTTAAATTAAATAATCATTAACACCTTGTAATCTCTTACTTCAGAACTTTGATAACCTTCCCTGTATTTCTAAAGTCATAGATCCAACAATAAACAACATCAACCCACCAAAAAGTTTACATTTTCTTTTACACTAATTAAAATCATACCTACCACCATGAGACTAACATTAGTCAAGATGTGTAAAAAAAACATAAACGTTTGTTTATGTTTTTATAAAAGTTTCCTGATTTAAATTTAATTTTTTATTCTTTTCTTTTACAATAACTGTCTGTATATCATAAAATTCAGAAAAGAGTTTACTTTTTTGATAAAATATTTTTCAAAATTTCCCTCAAATTTAATTACACTTTTCTTGAAGGATTTAAGAAGAATGTATGATTTGAATTGACTTTGTCCAAATTGAATAATCATAATTTCTAGAGCTTACACATCCATGGCCTACTATAATTACACGGCCAGATATCTTGCTTTTCGCAGCGAAAAATTAGAAGGGTAACTTTTCAAAACATAAATATATTGCATAGCACAATTGGCCACACTTACCGCATTTAAAATTATAATCTTTATATGGATTTTTGTTACTGAAGTGTGTATATAATATAAAATTTGTTGGACAAATATAACTTAAGTCTCAAAAATTATATATTTTCCTTTGCCTGATAATAATGTTTCTAAAAACTTAAGAATAAGAGAATATTATATTGTACTTTGTTTATCAATATAAAATTGTAATAATTTTATTAATAATAAAATATTTAAATTTGTAATGACTTTTTTAATTTAAAGATAAACCTCATATTGCATACATATATATACATATATATATATATATATATATATATATATATATATATATATATATATATATATATATATATATATATTCACACACACACACACATATTTCTCATAATAAAATCTCGATTATGTTAACAAGATATATAAAATGATAAACAAAAACCTAACAATAAAGGAAGAGTATACATTAAAAGTATAATAGTTTAGCTGTATAATTTAGCATTAGCTACTTCAATTCAGCTCAGCTTAATTGATTATTAACTTAACTAATTCAGCTTTAATCTTTTTCTTTGTCTGCATTTAAAATTCTACACACTGTTCTTTCGAATTTCATCAAAAATGTGTTTCTGTTCATTGTTAAAATAAATATTTACAACAACACGATTTACAAATTTTACACCAATAATTTGATGTTCATTGCATAAGAATGAAGAAGCACAATCATTTAATCTAAGTACCCAGTGTCTAATATTGCAAATGCTTTGGCAACATAATGTGTAAGATCAATAGCTGGTAAAATCAATCCACCACGAGAAAGTTTTTCTAAATATTGACATTGTAGCTCACCAGATTCAGCTAATAGAAAAGTTTTGCAAACACCACATTTGATCTTTTTATTAAACTTTTTAACAACATAACCAGAAATAACTGTAGCAACTTCAAAGCTTTCTGAATCTTAACTGTGTTCTTCAAATCTGGTAAAATTTCTTGCAATTTATCATAAAATAATTTAAGTAAAGATATATTACAACTCTTTTTTCTAACATCTTCCTCCCAGATATTGACTGACTCTTTAAGTAAAGTTTTCAAAGCTTATATGCACTCAGATGTCTCAAGCTCACGCAAACCAATTAAAAATCTGCCACCGCTCATTTGACAATACTTTGAAAATCTTAGTTCTAATGTATCAGTTTGCAAGGGTGATACTAAAAAAAAATGATACCCTTCTTGAATTAAATCATCAATAAGTGAAGCTGTGCATCTTAAGTGGTCCTTCACGCTTCTGATGTTTGTTTACTTAATATAAACTTTTGAGAGTTTGAAACTTGAGATAATTGCCAATTCTCAATCCATTCGGCTAGTTTCCTCAAAAATAAAGGTTTCATGTCACCCATAACAGCTGCATTTTCAATACAAAAATTGTTGTTATATATTTGCGTTCTGTTACTTATTGTCCACCATATATTTATCAACTTTAAAAAGCTTGAGGCATCAGTCCTATCTTGAAAATAACTTTCAATAGATGCAGAAGTTGAAGGATCAAATATTGCAAGAGCAAGTGGTACACTTTGTTTATTATCTCTTGGATGAAGTGATTTATAAAATAATTTGAAACCTTTTTTTAAATTTGACTGAAGTAATTGGTCTTTATCATATACATCATGAAGTAACTTCCATGATATTTCACCAGCATGTACATCAATAACAACATGAAACTGATCAAAATAGAAAGCAGGGAATATACGTTTAGAATTCAGTATATTGATATACTGGTGGTGGTATTTTTTCAGTTGAGCAATAAATAGTTGAAACGGGATTTAAATCCCAAACTAATGTTAGTCTTTTGCCAATTTTTAAATATTTTTCTTCAAAATGTTCAGCACAAATAGCCGAATTCTTTACTGGGCTTCCATAACTTTCGATTGACAAATGCTACCCGCTGTTTAAATAAGTCAGGATTATTTTCCTGAAATCCAAAAAGTAAATGCTTTTCAGGAATGACATCAATTTGATTCTCTCTCTTTTTATATCCAGTTTTACAATAAACTACAGCACATGTATTAATCATATTATGAATATTTAAATAAAAGATTTTAAAAGACGCTTAAGAAAGTCTAAAAGTTACCCATCTAATTTTTCGCTCCGAAAAGCAAGATATCCGACCGTGTAATTATAGTAGGCCATGACACATCTAGATAATTGGGCAGATTGCCGTTGAGTTTTAACTATATTTGTCATGTCTTTACTTTCTTTCAATAAGTTTACATACTTTTTGCATGTTGGATATGCCTGTAAGTTTATTTTTAAATATTGATTTTTTTTTTGAAAATGGTTTTTAATAAAAAAACTACATTAATTAATCATGAAATGGAATATACTTGTTGAATAACTGTATACAACTAATATTAATAACAGTAAAAATGTATGTAAAACCTTAATATTCAGGTTTTACATACATATTTATGTAAGCCTTTAATAGTTCTCTAATACATTTTAAGCATTTCTTCAAACAACAGCAATAAATCATTTTCTGATTCAATAAATAATCTCGTTTTTCTTTGCTTTTTACTGTTTTGTTCAATAATATTTTAGACATTTTCTTATACAGTAATTTATGTTTATTATTAACGATAATCAAATATCAAGATTTGCAACATTCTATTCTATTATTTTTTTATATTAAAGAAGTCACTAAATAAAGTAAATAATACGGAAACGTTACTATTGGACCCGATTTTTACATGGCATTACAGAACAGCCTTTTTTAATTTTATATATGATTCCGTCAACAATTTTATTAACATCTTAAGATTATCAAGATTTAATAGCCTACTGGGTTAACTATAATAACAAAACAACATATTTTTAAAATGTTTATATTGACTTTTTATAAGAGGAAAACCTTTACTTTACAACTCTCATCCCTTTTATACAAATATTTTCTAAAAGTTTGAAATCTATTTTTCTCAAAAACGGTTTGATTTTTATTTTTTTATATTAAAAAACGGTTTGATTTTTATTTATTTATATTAACGGTTTGATTCTCAAAAACCTTTTGATTTTTAAGCTTCTAGTCTAGAAGGTCTAGATGCAATATCCTGAAGAATCACTGATAAAAGTTCCATTAAAATATTCTAGGAACTCTGACCTTTATTTTGATGAGTGCACAAAGTTGAGAAATTTAGTTGGTCTTGCTAAAATAAATCTTTGTATAAAGCTGTATTGTTAGCTAAATTTTCTTTTAAAAGAGATAGATAACACTTGTTAAATATACGTTTCTTTGAGACAGTAAAAAAATCTACAAAAAAGTTATATTTTACTAACCAGTTATTTAAATACATAATGCACAAAAGACGTGGCTCATAGTGAAGCATATTATTTGTGAAAAAAACAGCAATGGTTTTTCCAAAAATCCTTTAATAGATTTGCATCAATTGTAAAGGATTAATTTAATCTCTATTAATGTTTATTAATTAGGAGCAATTAGGCTAAAAATTAAAGTTTTGTTCTTTCAGTATAAAAAATGTTTTTTTATAATTTGTTTAAATATATTCAACAATAAAATAATACAACACAGATATCGTTTATTTTACTTTTGTGTATGCTTGCTATACTCTGTGCTGACTCGTCGTATTCACACTTTGCTAAATGTCTTGAATCTCTATGCTAAAATTTGCTCTATTCATATAATTATCTGAGTGCATGTGAATTTTAGTAATTTTCTTGAAAACAAGCGTTAATTTATTATTGCAAGAAACTGCTACCAAAGGTTAATTTTTTGCTAACTAAATATATATAAATCTCAAGGACCGCCTTGTCCTCTGAAAAGATTGCAAGGATTCCCTTTTTTTTTAAATCGCAAATAATGTTTGTCTTTTATTTTTAAGCCCTTATCTATAAATCGTACTTAGTAAAGATTTTAATTGTTTCAAAAAATTGGTTAGATGCCACAAAGTAAGTGACATAGCCTTAACCATGCGTGTTGTGGTTGATAGACTCAGGGTCTATTCTCGTCCTTATCGAGGGAGATGCTAACCGGCTCTCGGCTCATACAACACGCATATACTCCACGTGGGTATATTAAATATACTAACAACTACATTTATAATTCTTACTTGTGGTGCTGTTTTAATCTTAAAAATTTTTCTGTAGCATCTTTTGCGACGTCATCTTGATAATCATGCAGCAAATAAAGAAGTTAAGGTAATTATTTTTATAATTCTTTTCTATATCCATGTATGTGTGTGTGTTTTTATATATATATATATATATATATATATATATATATATATATATATATATATATATATATATATATATATATATATATATATATATACATACATAGGGTTGTCTCCAGAATTTTTAGGTTTTCGAGATAGCTAACTTCCAGATATGGAGAAAACTCCAAAACGTATGTTAATACTTATGTCAAATAAGGGTGCTTCGCAAAAAATTGCGATGATTGGAGCCTGAGAACAAAAAAGCCCCAAAATTTTCACCCCCTCCTGCCCCAAACGTGAAAGCAACCAGTTGATAAAATATTTTTCGAACTATTCTTAACTAGACTTATATCATCGATAAATTTTAAGTTTCATATTATCATCTTTCAGCGTTCAAAAATTATGTTCATATAAAATATGTAACCCCCTCAAATTGAGGGGGTTAAAACTTTATCTTGTCATATTTTTTGAATGCTTACAGATTATACCATGAAACTTAAAATTTATTAATGAATATAAGTCTAGTTAAGAATAGTATAAAAAATATTTTATCAACTAGTTGCTCTCACGTTTAGGGCAGGGAGGCGAAAATTTTAAGGCTTTTTTGTTCCCAGACTCTAATCATCGCAAAGCATCCTTATTTGACATAAGTATAAACATATAAATGTTTGGATTTTGCTCCATATCTGGAAGTTAGCTATCTCGAAGACCAAAAATATATATATATATATAAATATATATATATATATATATATATATATATATATATATATATATATATATATATATATATATATATATATATATATATATATATATATATATATATATCTGTGTGTGTGTGTGTGTGTGTGTTATATATATAAATTTATTTATATCTGTGTGTGTGACTGTGAACGCTATTATTTTTTTATAAAAGACAAAGTGAAAACCCAATAAGAGTTAATTAATTTCGATTTGATATTTTTAATTCTTAAAAAACAAAGTGAAAATCCAAAAAAGTTAATTTCAATAAGAATTTAACAGATACGGAATAAATTACCGTGTGTAAATATAAATTTATGCTGCGGGAAATTCATTTATTCGACGAAACCGGGTTTGCTCCAAGTGATCAAAAATGTTTTAAATAAATAGAGAAACTTTAAAACCACATTTCACTGCCTCTTGATAAAAGAAGTAATTTCATTATATTATTGTTTTTTGCAATTGTAGGAATCCAAGAAGCCTAAACGTCCACGAGTGAAGCGAAAAGATAGGCTGATAGAAGGACTGACCGGTTACATGCCGGAGTTAGCAAGAAAGTTAACTCAAAAGGAAATTGAAGCTTATATGGAACATTTTGGTAACGGGCCTGACACAGACCCTGTTGAAAATGAAAGTTATACAACACAAGAAGAGATGCCTCCTTTGTTTTCTGAATTCAGTGTATCTTCTTTTGAAAGACAACTTGAGGTGGAAAACCAAGGACAAATTGATTTTAAGCGTATTGAAAACGCATCGGATGATATAACGACTATGACAACTGATATAGATTGCGACGATTTAAATTTAGTTCTTAAACCTTTCAAAGTCCCTTCTACTATTTTTAATGAAACTCAACTAAAATTGCATACTGGAGAATTTAATGACGAAGAAATGCGCTTACCTCTTATGGAAAATCGTATTTTTAATGAGCCTCAGACACAAAATTCACACTTAATTACATCGGTTGATAAAGTTTCAACTATTGAAAAATTAAACCAGATTATGAAGCAAAGAAGAGACGCTTGTTTTGCGGAATCGTGTTATTTGCAATCACTTACAGAGTCTGAATCTTCCGAGGATTCAGAGGAAAAAAAGAAAAGGCAACATATAATTCAAAGGTGTTCGTAACTTGAACGAATAGAATCAGGATATAAAACTATTTTGCATAAATTACCAACGACGCGGGCGATATTATTTTTCTAATATAAGTAAAATGCAGTGTTGTATGATTTGAGCATGAAAAATATTGATAAAGAAATACGAAATAATTGTTATAGCTTTGATTTTGATAATTTGTTTTCCGTGCTTCAGTTTTTATTATAAATCTGTAAATTTTTCATATTTACTACGTATTTATAATTATAAACACATCTGAGAATGTGTTTATAATTATAAATACGTAGTAAATTTGAAAAACCACAATTTGCGTACAATCAACGTTTTTTTTCAGTGCTGATAAATTTACCAGGTATACCGGTATGAAATGAGCGTTTTTTGTGAAAATAAAACACTAATTATTAATGGGAAAGTATAAAACATTTTATTCAAAGTATTGGCCATTGTTTTCTACACATTTTGACCACCTTTCTGGCAATTTGTGGATACCACGCCAATAAAATTGTTCGTTTTTTAAAGCAAACCAACCAGACACTTAATTTTCGACCTCCTCGTAGGAATCAAAGTGCTGCTCAGCCAATGCGTGTCCCATCGATGAAAACAAATGGTAGTCGGAAGGAGCCAAGTCTGGTGAATACGGCGGGTGGGGTAGCAGCTCCCAGCCAAGTGTTTTGATTGTATCCTGAACCGGTTTTGCTTTGTGTGCAGGTGCATTGTCATGGAGCAAAATTACCTTACCGTGTCTTCTGGCCCATTCTGGTCGTTTCTCGATTAATGCATGGTTCAAAAAAATTATCTAATGATGTTTCAAAATTTCATAAGTTTTTTGTCGAGCGAACAATTCATTTTTTGTAGAGCATTTCTGATTTTGATTTCAAATATGTAATTTGTTTTGTATCAAATTGTAAAGATTTGGGTTGAACTTGGGTTCAAATCTTAAGTATTTGGGGTTAAATCCCAAATACTGTCGAAAAAAAATTTATTCAATAGTATGTCAACCTGGGTCTCAAAAGAAGCGTATTTTCATAGATATTTTAGAGAACATAAATATTTTAAAATTTATTTGTAACAAAATTTAACGTCAAACCGCGACATAGTTCATGGATATCGGAAATAGTAAAATGTTGAAATAAAAGGTTATGCAGTTGTGATAATAATGTCTGCAGTTGATTTATTCTTAAGAAGACGATTAAGTTTATTATATTTAATGCAGTTTGAATTTTCCCGGATTTTAAATAGAGATTTTGTATAGTTGCTATTGTGTTTTAAAACATTCATAAGTGATTTCAGCGCATTCGTTCCAATTTTCATTCTAATTTTTTTCATTAATGCTGTTCTTACATGGCTGCATACTTTAAGTCAAGATAGACACTGCCAACTATGTTTAAAACCTTTTTCAAAGAAAACGCTAAATTATACAAGTTCATATGATGGTATTGTGTTTATATTTTAGTAGTCAGCCAGATAATTGCCTTATGGACTACTTGACAAGAATTACAAAGAAATATTTACAAAGTTTTTCTATTCTTTTCAAGTCGAGAAACGGAGCGCAGCAAGAATAAGCGAGTTTAGAAAAGTTAAAAAAAAGTAAAAAGAAAAGGCGAAAATTAAAAAACAAAAGTTTGGGTCTTTCAAAAGGTATAAGGTTTTTTGATTTAATTCAAAAATTGATTTAGTTTGTTTTCTAGTTTTATGTTTCCGTTTATATCTCTTATTTCTTTAGTTTCATTTAAAAAAGAGTTTAGTTAATTGTTTTCTTTCGCAATGTCGTGTTCGATCTGTAGTATTTTTTTAGTTTTAGATATACATGCTCTTAAAAGGCTTATTCTAACGCTCATACTTCTCTCGTGATAAGCTCTCATACGCATCGTGTAGACATAATAAAGAAGCTCATCAAGCAATAGGTTACCGATATAAAATTTTGGCGCGTTTTCAACAAAACCGAAAAGATAAAACTTAAAAGTGTTTTTAAAAGGTTTACTACTGGGATTAATCTTATTTAGCAAAAATATTGTGTATTGTGTAAAAAGGGGGCTGATTGAGGATTTCCTAAATTGACATTTTTTTTTATGTCGCTTTCGCTGTTGAATATGTAACTTCAGTTTTTAATAAGTTGCTGGTAGAACACAGGAAGAGTATCAATTGCAATGCTTGGGTGGGTTGTGACGAAAATATTTTCGCTTTGATTAGTTTTTTTATAACTATTGAAAACGTTCTATAACTATTGAAAATGTATTGAAAACTATTAAAAAAGTTCTTATGATCACAAAAACTTAATTGTATTAATTGTAAATTTATAATAGAATTATGAAGAACAAAACAATAAATATACATTTTAATAATATTTTTGCTTGTGGGTTTATAAAAATAAAAATGGCATTTTCACTTGCTTCGATGTTTGTAGTGCTTCCGGTACCGACACCATTTTTCAATACCGGTATTTTGATACTGAATAATTTCAATACCGGTATTAAACTTTTTTTTTATTTATCATAATATAAAATCTCATGCTAATAGTAAAAATTTTATTAATTTAATAAGCTTATTTATTTTATATAAAAATTACTGAATTTTTCATTTTTTCTATTTTGTAAAATGAGCTTATAAGAAACATAGGGTTCAGAGTATCGCGAACGGACGTGCTTTCTACTAAGAAGCCTTTTGACTTTATGAGCGAAAAATATGAAACTCTTGTCGAATTAAATGAAATAAAGAAAAAAAAACGTTACCAAGTATCTACTAAAAAGATAACGTAATATTGGATAAGAACAATAATGACGTAAAAGATAAACTAGCAGAACTCGAAGGTCGGAGCCGTAGAAACAATCTAAGGTTTAATGGAATCGAAGAAAAGGAAAATGAATCGTGAAAAGACTGTGAAAAAAAAAATAAAGAGGTCCCTTAAATCCAAACTTGGTTTATCATAAACAGGGAAAAAAGAAAACGGAGTGAAAATAAGCAGAACAATGATAGTAAAATTTCTTAATTACAAAGAATAAAGTAGAAAAATTTATCTAACTAAAACTTTGGAATAAAAAAAAAAACTCGTATACGAACACTTTAGTGAAAGAACCATTGAAATAAAAAAACAATTGTTTAAAGACGCAAAAGAATTAAAAGCTAAAGGTCAATTAGCTAAAGTCGTTTACAAAACTAACTTATTATGCGCAATTTTTAAAATAAATTCTTTAATTTCTAATTATCTAAGTTTTAAAAATAGATTCTACTTACCAAAACAGTTTTGAGTCACTTTCATTTAACTTTTTTCAATCTAACGACTAAGTGCTTGACACAAATTCAGATCCGGATCTAAGTTATTTTAGAGATGTAGGAGTGTTACAAAACAACTGCTCGTACTTTTGTAACAAAGAAATAAAGGAATTTCTAGAGCGGGATCATTTAAATGTTCTTCATTTTAATATAAGAAGTCTAAAAAAAAACTTTGAAAATTTGTGTAATGTATTAAACGAAACTTCAAATACTTTTAATATAATATGCGTAACTGAAACATGGTTTAATTAAAGCTAATATAGCCAGAAAACTTTAATGCGTATTTGCAAAATAATCTTTTAAAAATAAGTTTAAATGAAAAAAAAATTATTTGATTGGTGACGTTAATTTAAGTTCTAGGAATACCACATAAATAGAAACATTAAAAAGTTTTACGATAATTTATTCCAAAGTGGAGCTATACCGCACGGTAACAAACCAACTAGAATAACCTCAACGTCAGCGACCTTAATTGGCAACATAATAACAACCGATATTTTTAATGAATCTCTTAAAATAGGTATAATTAAAAATGACGTTTTGGATCATTTCCCCATTTTTTTCTCCATTGACATTGAGAAAAGAATAATAAAAAAGCAACAAAAAGTTTTATACAAGCGCTCTTTCAGTGATAAAAATATGGCATCATTTAAAGATCAGCTTTCTCTAATAAATTGGAAGCATGTAAACAGTTTGTTCAAAGCAAATATTATTTTTTGATAGATTCTTTCAAACCTTTTATGAAATTTACTATGTAAATTTGCCAAAACGTCAATTTATAAAAACCAATAAAAGTGGGTCCTTACCTTGAGTCAATACAGATTTTAAGAAATCGTCAAATAAAAAAAAAAAAAAAGCAAAAACTATATCAGCGCCGTGCGGTGGTATAGTTTTTGGCATACTTATAAGGCGCCTTTTATGGGTAGAATAATTTTTTAGGTGACCAACATATTCAAATTTTTCTTAACTAGAATACAGGTAGCCTTCAATTAACGCGGTTGTATTTGCTTGATTTTTGGAATAACAGTGCACTTTACAGAAAAATATTTCTTATAAAATTTGTAGAACTTCGAGAGTTCTACAACTATTCTTGAAATATTTTCTGTGGAGTGTACCATTCTCTCAAAAATTGGGCAAATGCACACTTTAATGAAAGGTTGCCAGGAATAGATCGTTGAGTTGGCATTAATGACAAGAAAAATAAAAACCTTTGATTCATCGTTTTTATATTCAATTTTTATATTAGGATACATTTACAAAATCAACAAAATATAATATCTATATAATAATCGCGGATTAAATAAATCAATAATTTATTTAATCCTTTATATTTGGACTAATTATAATTGAGAATAATAATAAATTATTTGCAGTAAGTCAGAAGAGATTTCATTTCTAATTATTCGATCAATAGTAAGCCAAGTAACAAATTCAATCGATTTTGGTAGCTTTAACAACGATTTAAGGACAAAAAGCGAAATAAATTATCTTATTTGAAAGAGCATTTTTATTTAAAATTTACTCGCCTCTTTTTTAATTCAACAAAATCGTTAATTAAATCGTCATAATTTAACGAATCACATATTTTGTTTTCAATCGACATCATAGCTAGACCTACTACTAATCTCTCTTGACTAATTGACGATCTTAAATAGTTTTTTATTATTTTTATTTTCGAGAAACTGCATTCCCCAGAAGCAACTGATACAGGTACAGTTAACAGAATACGTATACAGATGAACAAATTTGGAAATATTGTTGTTATATTATTTTCGTGCAAATAGTTCAGTATTTCTAGTGGTTCCATTTGAGAGGGTAACACTGCAGATAAATTTATAATTTCTTCACAAAGTTCTAAACCGTCAATATCTCTTTTATC